AGACGAAGACGTCTCAAGCGAATCAAATCGGAGCTAAAATTTATAAGTGATATCTTCGACTATGGTAGTATCGATTTTGGGTATTAGATAGAAAGAACAATTAATTTAAATTTTTTGAGTCTCTTTAGAGGAATCTGTACTTTGCCCCCAGTGCGACACTCCTTAACCGTCTCCAATGGGGACCAAAAATGATATGTGCTATCTGTGACAGTGATATTACCGATTGAGGAGATGATACCTAAAAAATCCTTCACTTGATTTTTAAGGACCACCCTAATATTAATATATATATATATATTCATACATATATACATACGACAGTAGTCATTATTGAAATATGTCTCAATTCATATGAATTTTTGGCACGTACAAAACTTCAAACTAAAGCTTCAGGGAATTTGTATAATTTGTTTAGGGCTATACCATTCATGGTGCGCAAGACTACGTACATACATATGAATGTACATATGGCGCTAATAAAATAATACAAATTTTCTACGAATAGTTTTCACACCCAAAAAAGTAAACAATAATAATTTATTAGGCAAAATTTACACAGAATAAAATGTAGAAAATTTCATAACGGTAATTTGTAAGCTTTCGCGTCAGAATTATGACATTCCATACAGAGTATAATGGGGAATGTACTTAATTTAGCAAATTATGTAGTGTCTATTTTAGTGGTACCGATGTATGTACGTACATATGTCCTAAATACCTCAAATATGTTTGTAAGAAATCAAATTTTAAATTTCTAACCAAAATTGGTAACTTTTTGTTATCCTTATAAAATTTGATAAATNAAGACTACGTACATACATATGAATGTACATATGGCGCTAATAAAATAATAAAAATTTTGTACGAATAGTTTTAACACCCAAAAAAGTAAACAATAATAATTTATTAGGCAAAATTTACAGAGAATAAAATGTAGAAAATTTCATAACGGTAATTTGTAAGCTTACGCATCAGAGTTATGACATTCCATACAGAGTGTAATGGTGAATGTACTTAATTTAGCAAATTATGTAGTGTCTATTTTAGTGGTACCGATGTATGTACGTACATATGTCCTACATACCTCAAATATGTTTGAAAGAAATCAAATTTTAAATTTCTAACCAAAATTGGTAACTTTTTGTTATCCTTATAAAATTTGATAAACTGGTAATTTATTTTTCAATTTGGCAACTTTTTCCATTCTGTTCTACATGTTTGTTCAGTAGACTAGATCCTCTCCTCACATAGGTCCTTACATCCTCGTTCGGACTCCACATTGAATAGTAAGTGCCTTGTGAGAGTATTTATAGGGAAGAACACTTATTTTCTGTTAAAATTTTAGAGCAACAATGACCGTTTCCTATTATAGAAAGAGGTAACCCTGAAAAATACGCAGGGAGAAAAAGTTGTTTCAGCGCTGATTGGTTACTGAAATGGTGTGATCTGTAGCAAATTGTTTAAAAGAGGCTATTCCTATACCTAGAGTCTGCTTTTCCCGACAGTTTCCTGGTCAATTCGTCTGCTTTGCAATTACCATCAATATCGCGGTGTACATCTGGAATCATATATGTATATATATATACGTTCCCGTTCAAAAATCTACGGCATTAAGCAAGGGACTTCACTTTGTCTATGTGTGAGTCTAAAACTGTGTGGACTGCCTTCATCATAGACTTTTTTAGATATTTGCGGCCACTTGTTGGCATATGTATATATATTGGATGGTATCTTGGCCATAACTAGACCAATGTTGATTTTCAAGTGCTCCAAACTTTGCGTTTTATACGGAGTAGTGGTGATAGGTCCAATGACCTCAGTGGTCAAATGACATTCCCTCTATGGGAAATTATGCGCCTGATAATCCTCTGTTGCAATTAAACGAATCCATGANGTTGGCATATGTATATATATTGGATGGTATCTTGGCCATAACTAGACCAAGTGCTCCAAACTTTGCGTTTTATACGGAGTATTGGTGATAGGTCCAATGACCTCAGTGGTCAAATGATATTTTCTCTACGGGAAATTATGCGCCTGATAATCCTCTGTTGCAATTAAACGAATCCATGACACTGTGAATGATCAGATGCCTTCAGTGGTTTTGCGGCATGAGCCTTACATATATATATGGATGAAGTTGTATATCTTAATGCAAAATATACCATGATGTACCATGAGACAGTACCAATTTCTTAAAACGACGCGAAATCTGCAAATTTGTTTCTTCGGCCACACTTAAGCCTCAAAAGCTCACGAAGCGTGAAGGGCGCACTGAAACATAGCTTAACGAATGGCTTACCGACTTTACTTTACTATTTTTTTGTAAATATAATTTTTTATGTTCCAGATGCTTAAACAGAACGCATGATCCAAAACTTCTAAGTTCGAAGCTTAGGTTNTAAGCCTCAAAAGCTCACGAAGCGTGAAGGGCGCACTGAAACATAGCTTAACGAATGGCTTACCGACTTTACTTTACTATTTTTTTGTAAATATAATTTTTTATGTTCCAGAAGCTTAAACAGAACGCATGATCCAAAACTTCTAAGTTCGAAGCTTAGGTCCAAATTTTCTGCTCGTTCACTAGGGACTGCATCAGTTGATATGGAATTTAATCTGCAACAATTTGTCATTCACGCACGATTACTAATTGAACTGATTTAAGAAACATTGATCAGCAGCCATTTACACTGAAACGAATGTTATAAAATGTTTAATATTTAATTTAACTTTGTCTTCTTTTTACTTGCAGGAAAACAGTGAAAGTGATTTCAAAGGATTAAAGAAGTGTTTTTCATGAAGAAATTAAAAAAGTTAATAAAGCTTGAGTGAAGTGTAGAAGGCACCAACTTATTGATATCAATAAGTATGTATTATAAGTATTAATAAGAATTAATTAAATCAACGAATTAACTCAATTAAAAACTCAAATGAATAATAAATTACATAAATTTAATTAGTATACAATAAAAACCAACGAAAACTAAAATAGTAAAAACTCCATAATAAATATTTTCAACCTAAAATTTAAATTAAAATAATCAACTCTAGATACGTGAACTCACCAATAAAACTCCAAATCATTAAAAGAATTACCTACCATAAACCTAGGCAGTCGAGCGCAAATTAAAAAAAAAACAAACCTAAACGTAATTAGCATAATTCTGCAATTACTTGCTTTTTAAATCAAAGAGAAAACTCAAACGAAAAAAAAATTTCAACCAAAAATGCTCCTCACCTCGAACAACAACACTACCAACAATCATAGCTACAGCAATCACACCATTAGTAGTGGCAGTGGCAACAATAGCAGCCACAGCATGACCACCACCACTTCAACGTCCACGTCGACTCCCACGCCGGGCTGTTCCTCCACATCGTCCAATCATACGCTGTTGGAGCCCTCAGCCGCCTGGGCACAGCTGCCCAATGTCGGCACCTCAGCGGCATCTTTGGCCGCTGCTGTCGGCGGGCCAAGCAACTCACGTCCACCATCACGTGCGCCCTCAATTTTGGATAGCCCCACCTTGGCGCGCGTGGAACGTGCTCGCTTGCGGCTGGAAGCTACGACATTGCAGCAACAGCAACAACATCAACATCACCAAATGTATACGAATGGTAGTAGTAGTGGCAGCAATGCAACCACGCTGAATCGAGAGGGCAGCTTAGAGCGGAGCATTTTGGATCCGAAGGTAAGATCAAATGTGTTTTTTTTTGGAATTCATTTGTTTTTAATTTACGGGTAATTTGTATGGGAACAGGTAAGGGGTGTTGAATAAATGTAAACTGCTCTTTTCCATTTAGATTTTAATAGCGATAAAAATATATATTTATATTTATGTACAACATTTTTAATTTAAATTTTTACAAAATGCTTTACATGTTTTGAGGGGAATACTTACTATTCAGGCTTTGGAGGTAACATAGAAGTGACCACCCTATATGTAGAAATGGATTGTTATTAAAAAAAAAAAATTAACAATTAACCTGAACCAAAAAAGTGTAAAACTTTTGCACTTGCTTATGGAGTTCGGTCAGCGCTGCCCATACCTGGGTTAGCGCCCAAATAATTTGAATAAAATCAAATCAGCTGCTCTAATGCTACAATCGGTTTAGTATGCTTTCAATTCACTTTAGACGAGTATCTCTTGTTAAGAGTTCCACTAAGTACAATGGCTGTGCTCTGTAGAAGATTTTCTTAAACCTGTCTTTACATGTCCTAAACCCACACCTACCTTTTAGAAACCTCCAGGAAGACAATACCTCAGAAAACTGAAACGCATTATTCGGGGTTTGTTTGATGGATTCGAAGAGGACGTCTGTACAGCTTCTAAAGAACTCATTAAAGGTATGGCCTGTGCACCTTGCTGCAAAGTAGCAAACAAAGTGTTTCCTTAGTATTACCGTGAGAAGTCTTACGTGCCGTTTGTAGACACTTCAATTTCCTTGCTGATCCGACCACTCTCGATAGTCTGTTTGTGTCACAATTAGTTCTCGTGTTGTTAACAACTGGTCTGACCTTCCCAGCTTTTTAAAACGTCAGTCTCAGAGGCGGTTGTATGTTTAGAGTTTGAATACATAAAACCATTTTCGAACATTCTCCTCAGTTTCCTCATTTCGCTACACGTATCACGTAGAGCAGTATTGGTCGACGGTGAATTTATTTTGATATTGAAGAGATTTCCGATAAGGTCGTTGGTGACCTAAGGACTGTGACCGCAACTTGATTTTCTATAGCAAAGGCGAGTAGCGTAGAGGACGTGCGACTCCGTGTTGACTACGTTTTTGGATCCATCGACGAAGATTGGAATGGAGAGCGCGTCTCAGGCTTCTCTTCCAGCAAGTTGGTGCCTATTTCGATATCAGGCGCTTACTTATAACCGTCTATTACAGAAAACACCACTTGCAGACGGAGGTGTTAAATCTTCCTGAATGCAAACCAAGTTGGTTGTTGCTGATCTAAAGGCTTTAATTGTCTACAGAGAGCACATCATATCCATTATTTAGATTTCAGTCTGAAAAACACTGGCTTTCGTAGTGCAGTTACCGGTCTTGTCTGCCTGAGAGCATTTCAGCCCTGCTACTTTTGGCGTTGCTCGATGTAGGCACGCATGTTCCGAAGAGCTCTTTCTCGCTACGTAAGTGAAGTAGAGTCATACTGTAAATTCCTTTGCAGATTAAGGGTCAGATGCAGACCTGACAACCACTTTCCTAGCGAAGTATTTGCTCTGGATTTACGTAGTGCTTCTTCCGCCGCAAATTCCTGTCGGTCATAGTTACATAAGGAAAATATTCTCACAAAAAGTGCCCCGTCAGATGACGCTGCAGTCGAGTTAGGTGCGAAATTGGTACTCACGGTTTGATTTGGTTTATATTCAGAATAGAGGGTCAAATGTTAGCTATTTATGTAAGGAGCAAATAATAGTCAGATTTCTGTCGATGATTGATGCTGAGTTCGGTAAGTTCCGAACAATGTAAGCAAAGCTTAGTGAGATAATATACACATATCGAATTGGTCGCTCAAGAATATTTGTGAGCTCGTTTGGATTCATTAGTATTTAGACCTTTTAAATAAACTTACATTAAATTTAATATTATCTATTAGATTCCAAATCGCGAAAGCACTTTAACGAGTTTCACTCTATCCAACGAGAAATTACTCTGAATTACATTGGACTGGTAGGAAACTAGAGGTCAATTATACAAACTTATAAGATATAAACAGGACGAATGGATCTGCTTATTAGATTAACGTGAAGGTAGCCACTATTCGTTATTTATTTTAAGGAAATCTATAAAAAATTTCAGAGCTTGACAAAGGAAAGTCTATAGTTCTGAACTTGCGTGCCTCTAGACCCACTACTAGTTCACGATAAATCTCTTTGGCATGCAAACAACTGGCGAATTTAACACGGCGATGTCATATGAATTGGAAATTGTCCCCCGCTGCATTTCCTTTTCTATAGTTTAGAACCAGTCCTAAATTCGACAGATGGAATTTAGTTCGCTTTGAACCCCGTTTTCTATAGTTTCGAACCAGTTATAAAATCGACAGACGAAAAAAGTAACAAGATGTTTTCAAACAGTCTTTTTGGTTTTACCATGGCAGCGATTTTTAATTATTTGCAAAGAAATGTGTTTGAATCTGAAATAAAATTTGTCTAAATGCCTCGTAACCATGTCAACCTCGTAAACTTACTTAATTTTGTATCGAAAATCGGGTTATTTACGAGGTGTACGCTGTTACGAGGCATTTACGCGTTTCCATGAATACCCATATTGTATTTGAATACATATAAGAAAATTAGTTTTCTAAAAAAAAATTATTTTCACTTATTAGTATTTACGACTCAAATAAAACTATATAAAATATATATATATATACCAAGAAATTGTAGCCTCTAGGCCAAGCTCTTTCTGTGTCATACTTTTGATATTAGTCTAATAGTGATATTAAGGTCTTTAGTGAGAAATGTTGAAACTTATATTTATAATTTTGCACATAAATCTCTTTTACGTTCATCGTTCAATTCAGTAATAATTTTAACCTCTAATTTTTTCATATTCTAATTCATCATATTTAGGTACTATTTACTTAAGTCCAAAATTGGCATAGTAAATATGTCATAACTGCTTTCAAAATTCCATTTTTGTTAATTACCTAAATATTTATGTACATATGTCTGTGGGTATGTATATTTATGTAAATTGTATTTCTACTGTCCCAATTCAAACTAAACTGCCACACCAAGCCACGACCGGTGCTAATTCAAAGACAATTCCAAACGGAAGCAAATTTTTCATTGTCAAAGTTACGCCAAAAAACAACTTAAAAGTAAAACAAAATACGTACCTGTGTAGTTATATACATACATATGTATGTACATTAGGGTGGTGAAAAAAAAGTTAATTTAGAATTTGGATTGTTCTATACCCCTGTTGTTTTATTTTAAAATCAAAAAATACTTAGGGGTCGCTCAAAGCGCACAAAGCATTCTATGTACTCTATATGGCAAACATTGAAGTATTCATAGAAATGATATATGTATATCGAATTTTTGTAAATCTACATTTTTTGCTTGGAAAACTTTGTTTCTCTTCAAAGGACTTCCATTATTAATACCCAATTGTTTATTTACCCATTTTTTATTACTAACTAGTTTTTAAAGGACCCCAAGAAACATCAAAAAATTCAATTGGAGGGACCAATAAAAAATCGCTACTTATGGTATAATAAACAATTGGGTATTATTATTGGCAGCCTTCTGAAGAAAAGCAAAATTTTCCGATTGGAAAATATTGATTTTCCAGAATCCTATACCATTTATACGAAAAGTTGTTTTCTTCTTGTTTTTGGAGCGACCTCCAAATATTTTTTTATTTCAACAAAAGCCAGCGGTATAATTTTTTTTCGGTATAGATCAATCCAAGGGGGCGAGGGCATTAAAATTCCGATTTTACTTTTCACCCGCATTTTTTGACCACCCTAATGCACATATCTAACGCAGTATGCCGAACCAGAAAAACTTTCAAAAAAAAGGTGAAAGCAAAAAAAGGAAGAATTGCTAGCGAACAGCTGTTTTACCATTTGGCATACATACAATAAAAACAAAATGTTTAACACAAAAAATCAAAAAACAAAGACAAAGCTAATAGCTTAGCATTAAAATCTACATAAATATTTCATACGTGAGAGATATAGTATGTACAAACATATGTATGCAATACAATTTCGTTCTTGTTGCGACTGCCGGTTATGTGCACACTTGCACCAGTATACATATGAATTAGATACCTATGTACATATATACGTATTGCAGCCCGCTCTTTATGCTCGTAAAAATATTTGTGTAATAAAATTTAATCTAAAGCACGGTGTTTGCTTCGCTTGCAAACAATACATTCAGTGTGAGAAATGAAAAAAGAGCGAACTCTTAGCTTGGCATTGCTTCTAACACATGAACATATGCACCTACATAAATATAGTGTTCAATGTATGTACTCGTACTTGAAACAATGTGAGTCAGTGTGCCAAATGGTCACGCTGTGCGTAAACGCAGCATAAAAAACATAAACAAAGAAAAGTTAATGCAAATAAAACTTAAGTAGGCATTTG